AACTGTACAGTTTTTTTTTAGAGAGACAATTTTTTTAGAATGGAAAAAAAAGTTGACCCAGATATACATTCTCATAATTGATGCTCAGGAAGAAATCGCGATAAGAAAAAGAAAAATATCAGCCTCCAACGGGTCATACTTCCGGACCACGTTGAGAAGATAGGACATTTGCTCTCACTTCCGCTCTTTTTCTCTCTCTCTTTCAGAACTCACAGTCACAAATGTGCTTTGAGAATTCCATTTTTAACGGTGCACTACGACTGGAAAAACTTTTTCCAATACTTTCACGCCTAATGACTGAGATCATTTTGACAACGAGACAAGTACCTATGAACTCTGTGCAAGTACTTTACAGTACTGCTTCTATAACACTTCTGGAATTGTAAAATTTCAGGAACAAATTTCCTCTCCTAGACTTTTATCTTTCGCGTTATTTTTTCGGTCTTCCTTCCTTATTAATGCAGCTAGTCTGATTAAAATTTTGTTTTTATTTGCAAATGTAAAATCCATACCCATTATTTTTATCCCTACGCTTCTTTTTATTAATTTACTATTTTATTATTTTATTAATTTATTAATTTATTAATCTATTAACTTATTATTTTATTATTTTATTATTTTATTAACTTATTATTTTATTAATTTATTATTTTATTATTGTATTAAATTGCATTATTCCAGACAATTGGAATTGAATTTTCAATTTAACTTATAATGTGTAGTGTCAGGTGATTTAAGAAGACAGTTTTTCATTCTTTAATCTCCACTAATTTAAAAGTAATTTAAAAAAGAAACGCGACGTTTCTTAAGCTTCATCGCGTTTTCTATATCCAGGATAACAAGATTACAGCCGGATAACTCGGTTTATGGTATAACGAAAAAAAGTCAACGTATAACTTCCCCTTTTCGAAGAACGATTCAATTATATTCCTTGTCTCCCTCCTCCCCTTTAATGTAACTATATAGTTTTGTGTTCACCTACATCTTTTTTCTGCTAATTGGTGCTCAAGATCCTAAAGCTCCATTTTTTCTCAAGATTAAATCACGATATTGAATGCTTACGATCGACTGGCATTTATTGAATTTAGCGTCATTTAAAACGTGCTCCCACTCTGTAATTTAATAAATAACTTCAAAAATAAAGACTTAAAAACACACTCTCTAAAAGTGGAGACGAACTACGAGTATAAAAAATAAAATCGAAAATTCTAATTTATAACAGACAATATCGGAACATTTCTTCCCTACGCGAATTTTATCTCAAACGCGTTATGAGAATCCATTTTACGTATTTTCGCGAAAGAAAATGAAATTGCGTGCCTTTATTTACTCGTCTTCTTTATTTTTTTTTCGCAGAGAAATAATAAGAGTCGAGATTGCTCGTGTCATGCGAATTGTTGTATTTATTCAACAAGGAAACAAGTAATAAGAAGAAATTCTCATTTCAATAAACTGCTACAATAGAATTCTCTCCTGGCGGCAACATTTAGCACAAAGTATTTTATATTCCTTTATATTGTAAAAAATAATTGTGTAGCAACTCTTGTACCTTTTTCCATGATCTTTTAATTTTCTTCGCCCTATATATTCAAAATAATGAACTCTTTTTCTATAATACAAGTCTTTTTATATTAAAACCATTTAAAGAAAAGTCATTGAAGCGTAGCAGAAATTTTAATAATTAAACAAAAAAAATAATTAAAAATTTAAATGTCTGAAGATAATAATTAATCAGAAAAATAGAAAATTATTAAAACTTTCAAAGCTAAAAATATCTGAGAATAATTAATTGAATATTTTAATAATTAATCTAGAGACAATTAAAATATTTAAAGTTAAAAATAACCGAATTTAAAATTTTAGAGTGTAAAGTTTTTTTGGCTTTGAAGTTATATAGAAACATCAAACAAGTCATTAATAAATTTCTATTGGGGCTTTCTTGTATTTTTTATTTTATGCCTGAATGTTCGGATCTTCAAGTACCAATATACTACAATCTGCAACATCTTCTAGAAAGTACAAAAATGTCTCTTTTTGCCCCCACAATGCACTTTTTTCCCTTTACTTAGAATTGGTGTGGAATATTAGCACAGAAACTAGTAAAATTGTTCTTACATACTTCGCAACAGAAATCCTTGAATATGTAATTTGTAATTTGTAATTTGTAACAACACTTGGGAACGTTTATAAGAAACAGAAGAAGCTTTTTTCCCTGAGCGAAATCGTTCCTTATGCTTTCATAGTAAACGCGTGAAACATAAAAAGCTTTTGCAACGTTGTAGACCGCACGAAAAACGTTTAACGACGAAGAGTCATGCCAACACAAAATCCCTTACTGTTTGGAAAAATAAAAGAAATTTCCCTCGAAACAAGAAAATTACTGATTTTAAAAAATACACAAATGCTTCTTTATATGCAGGAAAAAAGAACTATTTGATTTCATATAGTAGGAATATCTAGGAATATCTCAGCCATTAAATTAAGTAATGCAAAGATTAATTTTAAGCATAGTTACAGCTGTTCACTCAGTTTCATTAAATTAAAACACTAAAAGCAGGTTGAAACTTGTGCAAGTTGGCACAAATCTGTCAGAATTTACGGAAAATGCTATTTACCATCAGGACGCACTTTACATGCGCATTTAGTTCAAATTCCCTGGGGTCTAAAAAAACTAAAAACCTATTAAAAAAGTAAGTACTAGTAATATTACCCTAATATTAGTAACATTTTAGTATTTTTTGCAATTTCTGTAGAGTATTCTAAATACTTTTTCTTTGAATTATATTTCCAATTTGGAGTTAATTGATAAAAAACTTGAATCCAAAAGGGTTGTATAATGATGTTTTTGAAATGTTTTTCTATGCGTTTGTCGCCCTCTGTTCATGTGGAATTCGTTGCAAAACTCTTAATCACATTTTCATTCAAGCAGGACGGCTTCGTGATTTCCAGGCAAATGAATGAATGAATGAATTTACGCGTCGTTGGGAGGTACAATGCACACCGAGTTGGAGCTGCAAAGTTCTTTCGTTATAATAATCTCCGACACCCTTCGATAAACCAAGCACATTCATATCTCGCTCAACTGTTTTTTTTTAATTGAAATTCACATATTCAAATTCATCATCAACAAATACTCTCTCGATTTAAATTAATCAGTAGTATCAGAGTATTCAAATAGCATAAATAATTAAACCTATTCTAAATATATATTGATCCTAGTAAAACAACGGAAGAATTCTATTCATACAACTCTGCTGAATGTTAAAACTAAAAATTTTGAACAAACAGCAATTGAGCAACAAAATTTTTTACATTTATGAGTTATGGAAAAATTTTTCATTTTAGATAAACGTTGGGCACTTGAACGTCCTGAACAATCTGTGTTATGAGTAGCATAATGTGCACAGTCTTTGTGTATCGTTCCGTAACCTTTAGCTCGTTCGCCCCGTATAATACATAATGTTGCATATAATGCCTTTATGGTTACATGTCTTTTAACCAGAACACCAACGCAACGTTTATTATAAGCCTGACCCCAGTGAAGTGATTATAAAAAGAGCTTTAATAAAAAGAGAAATCTTTTCAAACCTCGCGATTCAATTATAAATATGTTGAATTTTATGATGAACCCTATGTTGAACACTGAATTCAAATATGTCTTTTCGGTTGACATATGTTTAGATCAAACTGTTTCTTCACTACACTAATTTTACGCCCCCCTGCCCTTCATTCATAAATTTTGAAAGGAAACTACAGAATATTCATTTCTATAAACGTATATTTTTTTCTATAAATGGATATTTTTTTTCTATAAATGTAAAATACAAAATTCTTTTTTCAATCCACACTTTGAAAAACTTGATCTTCTCCATCCGAGAATATATCATAAATAACAATGTCATAAAACTTGCGTACACACCAAAAGTCAGAGTTACTATACACATACATGACTTAAGAGACAGACTCTTATAACTTTTAAAGGAGATCTCAAAGCTCCAATAACATTTTTATTCCTGCATTTTGCGACCTTCTTAGGGCAGTTTACATTTTGTTACTTTTATACTTTATGTCATACTTTTTACTGCTTTCCCAACGAAGTAATAGGTATTATTATTGATCGAGATATATTTTTGCAACGCTTTATATATTTTCTTCATATAGAGAAAAATGAAAATTGAAAATAAATTTACTAATATACACGTACATTATAAGTATATATGTGAAAATAAAATGATGATTCTAATCTCTATAATGATCAACTTATCAAATTTTTTCTGATATTATATATAGTAAATAACCATAACCAACAAGAGAGATTATAAGCTGTTAAAAATTTGTTTTATTGGCAAAGTAAACTCGCACAAGCAGGTACGTGAGTAGTGCGAAGATCGAGTTTCTGATAGACTTAGTACGATGAGTCACAGCTTGTATCGCGTGCATGTGTATACTTTATTGTGGAAAAAGGCCAAAATAAGTGTTTCTCTTGCCCGTTACCGCATTATTTCAAAAAAGAAAGGTACCATTTTTATCATATTTAAAAAATTAACTTTTCGTTCAGAAAGCTGCAAAAAAAAGTCATTTATTAGACAATAGGTTTAGTTTAGCTTTAAAGCTAAATTAAACCTATTGTCTAATAAACTTTGGTGACTTTTTTTCTAGGAACAATAATTTGCAAGTGGTTTCATGGAAATAAACTAAAAATACAAAAGTGTTGAATCGATATGGTATAAAGATGTGATATAACAAAAATTAATTAGTTACGAAACGTCTGGAAGGGTCTAGAAATGTCAATAGAATGAAAAGCAAGTCTGTATTCTTTTCTCGAAGTTGAAACTCGAAGAAAGTAACAAAAGTTTTATTTACTTTTCAAAACAGCTTGTTCTCGAGTCATAATTTTTTTTTAAAACGATAACAAACTTATGAGAAATATTAATTTCGGATTCCACCTCAAAGGCTTTACTTGTGTTGATTAGTAAGAATATGAAAAAAGAAACACTCACCGATTGTTGATATTCCCTTGACGGAGCGATGACTCTGCAATGGCTGCTTCCTGTCCATTGATGAACAGATCGTATCCTGCTGTTTTCGAAAACTTCTGTCACTATCTTCTTGTTTAACACACAACTCTCTTGAAAAAAATACTCAGTTCTTCTCTACTTCGACTCTTGATTGTCACTTCAATTACCTAACGTTAACACTAAACACTTTTATTGACCTGCATCAAATTTTAGTTTTCACTTAACACTAAACACTATTCACTAAACACTTTGTCCGAATGTTTTAAACTTTTTAGATTCTTTCATCACTTTTGGTCCGCAGCTAGGAAATTTCCTAATTCCTTTTGATGATTAGCATTCATCCTTGGTAGGGTCATTTGGCTTTGGGAACATTACGTCACCCATTAGATGCATCCATTTAGAGGGAAATGTTTATCTTTACGGTGCGTCCCTTGAGAAATGTTGTCTTTTAGGGTTCGAACCTCGTTGTAAGCACTATCAGGCGAGGTTATTAAATAATGCCGAGGGTGTTCACAAACATAAAGAGTCCAAGTGTGGTGTAATGTTTCATTGTTTATTTCTGTATTAATTCGGATGGCGACTCCTTGGTCCCTTTCTGAAACAAAGAAATAATTTTTAAACTAGAATTGGCTACTTGACCAAACGAGGCCATAAGCAAACATATTTTTAATTTTTGATGTTGTGGAGGATTTTAAATAGTGGATTTTACTTGGAAAAGAATTAGGATTTAAAATTGCATACAGGTGATAACCATTCTTGTACAACCGAACTTATTGTCATGTACATCCTACATTTGGAAGTCGGGAAGGATTTCAGAATGTAGTGAGTGGCCACTACTACAAATCTTTCCACTATAAACAAATTGAGTTTGCATACTTGGGAATACAAAAATGATAAAGTAGAACGAAACATCAGTAAATACTTTAGAAGGATAAGCCTCCTTAGTGACGTGATTGGCGAAACTTTTTTCTGAAGAAGAACTTTAGAAAAACAACCACTTGATAGGGAGCGTTTCCGCCAAGAAGAGTATACATGTTTTTTATTGTCCATCGATGTTTTATCTACCAGAATCTTGTATAAATATCTCCTGTCCACAGTTATCTACAATTCCCCATTGTTTCTTACACTGAAGACTCTTATACCAAAGATGTAAAATTGATAATATTTCGAGAACTTTGAAAAATTCTTGATTGCAACATAATGAGCAATGTACTTCTATATAGAATAAAGGAATTATGTTCATTGCTTTGGTATTTCGAATTTTTCTCTCTGAAGAAAAGAGAAAAGTCCCTGTGATGAACAGTCGAGGCACACACACTTTCTGCGCCTTGTATTCAGAATTCTTTCGATTCCACATTCTCGAGCGTGCTTATGGTATATAGGTAAAAGCGCACGTTTACTAAATATATCCTAGGGACCGTGCAGTAACCTTTTTCGCACACGTGCGCTGCCTAAACGCCAAGTGTAAATCCGTCAATGCGCGATTGTAAATATTTGAAAAGCCATCCTCTACTTTGAAATAGCAAAATCACACATCTGCAAAAACAAAAAAGGAACTTTGCCACAGATTTAAAAAAAAAATTCCCTCAACAGTTTGTTAAATGTTTCCTTTTCAAGTATCTGCTTCCTTTGCCCACATAAGTGTGCTAAATTCTGAATTCAATGCAGCTTTTTATTTCTTTCAACTGTTCGAGATGGTCCCCTAAAATCTTCATTTAATTAATAAAATTAGAGAAATTAAACCGGGTGGGATTACAAAAATATGAAGTTATTATCAAGTTATTAAGTTATTAAGATACACAAACAGATATTTCGAATAAAACCTTCAAAATAGTGGTTGGTAATTTAATTTAAAATAGACTACTTAAGGGTGTAAAGTTATTGCATATTCATGAGGCTGGATGTTTGTCTACATGTAGAAAATAATTATTCTCTATCAGAACGTTCCTGATCGATTTGCTTAACATCTAAGGAAGTTAACAATAGCGCGCTTGATAAAGTTACCACTATCCTTAACTGACAGTGAGTGGTTAGTTTTCGCCCCTAATGAGATTGCAGAGTTTGGGGTTTAAATGTGGTGGAAACCGACTTTAACTTGGAATTTTCAATGAGAGAGGAAAAACAGTGCCTTTACAAACCACAAAGTGTTTCAGCTTTACGACAAAGTAGAATCTATTCCCAGAAACATATATGAACCAAAGGAAATGTAGTAGTTTTGCAATTTCACTTTATTGGGTTTCAATTGTATTTTTAACCTCATATCCAATTTGATTTTTATTGCTATGTATTTTACTAGCGAACATAAATGATTTCGATAAAGGCACAACCGGTAGAAACTTATCATTATTTATTATTTTTAAATTTATATCTACATTTTTATTTGAAAAATACCACCTTTGATCCTTATGATGATAAATAAAAGAGCAGAAAAACTAATATATCATGTTGTTAATTTCAAATGTTGGAATAGTAAATCATTTATAAAAAAAGGAAGCTACCCAAAAGTGTTTTATTTTTGTGAAGACTTGGCAATATCAGTACAAAGGCCGAAAACTTCGATATTACAGAGTCTAGACGGCATTCCTGGAGGGAAAAGAAATCTCCCTCGTTCCAGTCTTATATGTATAAGCTAGAAAAGAGGAATTGCTTCTTGTATAAGGAAGCACTACCCTTTTTTGTTCTTATTTTAGATATAGACTATAGTAACATACATACATAAGAGTGCAAGAAAAGAGTTTAATTATCCGGACTTTACAAGTTCAAGGTCTACCGAAGAAAAACATAAAAGGTGTCAAGGAAAAATTTTAATTTTTCCTTTCCCTTTGAACCTCGCACGTATTATATCAATTAACCGCGCACAATTGTGGAATTTCTGGTATCCCTGTGCCTGGCATTTTTGTCTGAAATAATAAGGCCGTTTTCTCATTAGTTCCTCTATATAGTGAAGTACTCAGAGAGTCTTATTATGATTGACGAGCTTTTTGAATTGACCTCGCTTATTCTCAAGGTGCTTTCATAAATTTCTGCACAACACCGAAATATTTCTCGTTTCTTATGTCATGAAAATATTTATTTTCTAATTCATCAAATTTTCTAGATTGTTCAGCATTATGTTGATCTATATCACATCAAATGATAGAATTGATTGTGATCATAACAAAAGATTTTATATGCGGGATGGATTCTAGAGAGAGAAAAGTATCTGCATGCTTGTACCTTTTGTCATGTATTTTGTATTATTTAATGGCAACCAAAAAGTTTATTTACGAATTGAAATAGAATTTGCGAATTTTATTGTATATCTTTTAGGGAGTCTTTGTAACTTTGTAAGGTTGCCTTGAATTTGGAGTTAATTTAATAATTAATCAATTAATATAGAATTTTATAAACCTTGAAAAACCCTGGAAAAGTCAGGGAAATTCGATCGAAATCCTGGGAAATTGTTGTTTACTAAAGTTATTTAACCCTTGTATTTAATTCATCAAAAATTTAACTGTTTCAAATAAATTTTTCCAAGATCATATAAAAAAAACCGTAATTAATAGCAAAGTTAAGTTAATGTAATATAAACAGGAGAAATTATTGTATAAAAATATTGTATAATTTATAGAGCTTGTAAATTAAGAAAACAAGGAGGTGTTTTTATAAAAAACCATAATTAATAACCCAATAAATATTACAGATTTTATTATCAAGTGGGAAATATTTTCATTCTCACTCTATAAAGTTTCGCTTAGTTTTCGCTTAGCTCGGTGTGAGCTTCCAGAAATTTATTTATATCACCTCGGCCAGAATAAAAGGAGGCCATTATCTTGAAAATTACGATTCGATGTGCTCATTCAGTGCTACTAATTTCACAGGTATACCGACATTAGAACGCGTATTCACCTTTAATTACATTACTTTATTGGGGGGAAAATTGGAAAATTGAAAACTTTCCCCTCTTCACTGGAAATTAATGTTCTTTTCATTTAATTAAAATGAATATGTGCGAGAAAAACATTTGTTTTCTGACATTTTTACGAAAAATTATGTTTTCTAGATTTGTTTTACGAAAAAATTATTTGTTTTCTAAAAAAAAAAGTAGTCTTTTTTCCGTCTGCAAACAAACGTTTCAGTAAAGGCTGACTCATAGGAAAAATAATTGATGTTGTCACGTTTATTAAAATTGCAGACAATTAAACAAACGACTCATTAAGTGGGAAAAAGTATAATATAATTGCAGACGAGTGGTTTAGTAAAAGATACACCATTATTAACGTGCATCCGACACAATTTCCGGTTCCAATCTAGTTGAGTGTATATTGTATTATAAACACGCAGTCGAATGAAAATATTTATAAAAGTAAAATCTAATTTGCAACAGTCGATTCGTGTTGAAGGAAAATTATCATAAATTATAAAATAATATTTCAAATGTCAAATATTTCGCATTTCAATTTTCATAAATTACATGTAACAATTTAAACTAAAGTTATGCTGTAATTTTCGACGAGACCTGATATTAATCCCGAAGAAGAGCTATATACTTTTTTTCAGCAAAAATGCTTCCTGCTAAAAGGGGAATGGAATTAGGAAGTAATAACCTTCTAACTTAATTTTCTCGATGGGATAAGATAGGAGACTTGAATAATGAAGTGTTGATTCACTAACCTAGCATCAGTAACATTACTTGATAATTTATTCATGGCCGAAGCAAAAGAATCAAGAGACCTTATAAATCTTAAACGGGAAGCTTTGATCGCTGATGCATGAACTTTTATAGATACCTGGCCATTTCGAAAAAGCAAGGGTTTCCAACTTCTCAGCAAAATATAAAATAAACAGTTCGAGTCTAATTATTATTTTCAGTTTCACAAAAAGAAGAACTCCGTTTCTTAAATTTGCATTTAAGGAAATGAAAATCAAAACAAATTCTCTTCAACCGTTATAACCTCGACGAAGAAAATATTTACACTTTGTTCAACTAACTATAACTGTTATTTCTGCGCTCAAAAAAGCGCAAAATTCTTCTAATATCAAATAACAAATATTATGATTTATGAAACAAAATAACAAGTTATTTTTTTTATCTTTACGTCCATAGTAAAGGACTACGGTTTTTTATTTACTAACAAGAAGTACAACCGTATAGAGAAAGTTTTTTCATATACAAAATGAAATTTATCAACTTGTTTTTATGTATTCTTTTGATTTAAATTTCGTATCGTGAAACATAAATGCATATACATAGGCATTATAAATGAGTTAATAAAAAAAGGTCGTAAGAAAAGTAACAAAATTGAAAGAGAACAGGGCTTATGAGTTTCTCACAATTTACAACAACACTGCGAAAAAAGCTTCGGTGCACAGTGGGCTTGAAACATTGCGTGTCGCACAAGATAATAAAAGTGTCACAATACCTTTTTTACTAACTTGATGGATCATTGCATCTTATGATGAACGAGGTGCTACTCAACATGTTTAAACAATGCACTAGACTTATTATTAATAGTATTATTATTGTTGCTGTTATTAATATCATTATCATTATCATTATCATTATTATTACTATTACTATTATTATTATTATTATTATTATTATTATTATTATTATTATTATTATTATTATTATTATTATTATTATTATTGCCACACAACTTTAGTATCAATTTGATACTTTCAAGAATACTGTGATCATGATAACACTAAACAATGTTTAGTGTTAAGCTAAATAGTATGTTTAGTAAACATACTTTTTAGCTTAAGTTTACATTTTTAATTCATATTACAAAGAACTTTTCGAATTGTAATGAATAAAATTTTTTATCGTATGTATAATAACAACACTTGAAAGAATACTCCTTTAATTGAAAAGAACCAAAAGTTTTAAAGTAATTCTACAAAAGAATAGTATAATATAATATTAATTGAACCCATATATCTCGAACACGAGAGTACTTGGCAGCTGTATTATTTAAATTGTAATCAGTTGGCTAAACCTTTTCAAGAAACCCTTTTAAAATTAAATGTCAAACACGACATTAAGAACTCTTCTGTACGTAAGTGCGTTGTATTTGGCCTTCATTTTGACACTTTTGATCGAGAGTCAGCCTGCTTGCGGAAGCAGAAATGGATTTTGCAAAGTATCGCGTTATTTCTGCGGTTGCGGTGTGTTGTACGAGTACGACTTGGAAATGTGGCTTCGTGAGATCCGAAAAAAAATTCAAACTAAAGAAGCGTGATATCCCTTCACGGATCGAATAAGATAATCAACGCATATCAGGCGTGAATCTCTCTCTCCAAACTAAATAACTATCCAATTATTCATACACGTCTGTCTTTCATTAAAAGTCATTATCATATATGAAGAAAAATCACAAGAAATAATTAGAAAGAAAAGTTTTACCCAACAGAACGCTAGTGGTTTTAAAATTTACACATTATATTAATTTTACCAGGAGCGGTTTTTTTTTTAATTTATTTATTTATCCTTTCTGAAAGAATCTTTAAAAAAAAGACAGTAGGAAATTTAAATAGATTTTAGATTTCATAGGGAAAAAAATCAGGAGCTTTGTGCGTGAGTGAAGTGAACATTAATAATCTCAGGTCGGTCAATGAAGGCGTTAGATTTTTTCGGAATTTAAAAACCATTGAGAAGTCTCGATAAAATCAGACATTCCTTCATCTGCGAAAAATTGTCTTTTCAAGGGGCTTGAGCTTATCGTAATTCCCCAGGGTTTCTTTCAAATCGACTTTCACAACTCGTCGGAAATTTTTCTCTCAACGAGAATAGAAAAATTATAAACCAGCCATCATTTTCTCCCGCAAGAAATTAATGACTCCAAAAGACCATCATATATACAACATCTCTGATTATATTTATACACCGAGACTTTAATTAATCTAACCTAACAGATGATCTAACCCTCAATTAATTACTTCATTCGTTACTAATTCATAATAACAACAACAACAACTATTTTCAAACACTTCTTAAACCTTCTATTGTCAGTCACATTTTCAACAGAATTTTACTCAATCAACAACAATTTTTATTTTTACTTTCATCATTTAATTTTCACTGCAATGTAGATATAAAGAAAGAATTTAAAAAAATATCCCGACTACTTTTCTGAATTTGCGCATACAATTAATTTTTTTTTAGCCAACTCACTAAGTGCATTGAGGAAACCAACAATTATACGGTAATCTTTGTGCACCGGAATGAACAGTCTTTTTTATTCTGTTTTCAGATTCGAAGCAAGAGAACTCGCGTACCAAAAAAAAGGAAAAACAAGCCGCTTCTACTCCTCGAAGGTGAGTCAAACGAAGAAATGAGTCCACAACCAACTCTATCAAAATTCTTCTTGTGACGTGTTTTTTCACTACGTTAACAAGTTTATTTGTTGTTTTCATAGTTGTAAACACAATTCTCTTTTCTCTTTCATGCATTTTCTAACAACCCTAAATAACGTATTCCTCCTAACGATCTCTAAGTAGCCACCATAAACATCATTATCTGTATAAATAATTCCATAGCAGTCCTGTAATAAAATCCTTGTCTTGAAAAATTCAAAATCTTTTTATCTCTCTTAAAAAAAATACTCGAACTTTATTTTAAAAAAAAAATCATTACTTTAGTTTTTAATAAAGATCCTTAATTTTAATAAAGATTTTTAGTAAAGCTTTTTAATAAAGATTTTTAATAAAGAATAAAATATGGTCTGAATTGCAAAGTTAAAACGAATTCTTTCCGTTAATCGCTATTTATTACAGCAGCAAGATAAAATAGGTTACTATTAGGATATTCAAATCAATCTTCATTTGATTCAACCAATTGCGAGCATTTCTCTTTCCGTTTCTTGTCTCGCCGTGACCATTCATTCTTTTAAGTGACATTCATGTTCACAATAATGGAGGTTGCACTCAATTTAGTGCAAAGTAATGTCTTTTTTTAAGAAAAGGGATAAAAAAATACTCTTTTAAAAAAAAGGATCTTTTTATCCATTCATCATAGTTGAAGGAAATTATCATCAACATTTTTTTCATTACTTTTTTCTACTTTCATGATTTGATTTTTATCGAAAATTTCTGAATGACCGGAAGATAATAATATTCGTATTTTCGATCTATATATTAACTGTACGTCTGGATTCTTTCCGCGTATTCATGCGTGAATTCCCAGAATTTAGAGATGAAATTCCCAAGATCAGAGGGTGTATCCAAGACAGAATATGTTGAACATTGAAAATCCTCATGTTTATTAATGTTATGAGATGAAGAACAGTAAACACTCTTTTTTTAGCCTGGCAGATGATAAAACTGTCTAAAAGACTCGAGAAACAACTTTTCACTCAATTCTCTCAAAGACATATATGTATGCCGATTCGAATTTTTCGCGATTCAAGAATCAGAAATCAAAATTTTTCTCCTTTTACAATTTTTATAAAGAATTTTATCAAAGTATAAATTTTGAAAATTCAAAGTATATGATGTGCTATTCAAAATCTATGATGTGCTATTCAAAGTCTGTGATGTGCTTTTCAAAATCGATGATGTGCTACTTAAAATCGATGATGTGCTATTCAAAACCTATGATGTGCTATTTGTCAATCTGTGTTAGAGACTATTTGTATTTTGTTAGAGACAAAGTGGACAAAGAAAATGACTCTGTCAGTGATGACTTTTTGACTTTAAAAATTTATTAGATAGTACAGCGAAATTTCATTAGAGGCAACAAAGTCTAAACAAGGATCTTTTGTTTTAAAATAAATGTTGCAACCACTTTGTTATCTTATCGCGAAATGAATATTGATCAGAGATATAAATCTCAACATACGTATTTACTCTACTAATATGGAGTAACGTGTTTGCAGCTGCGAAATCGAATCTCATGAGACATAACTGCTGCTTTATGTAGTTAACTAAGTTATTGGAAGGAGATTCCATGGCGTGTGTATATCGAACTTTAAGCTGTGTGGGCTTAATTCTTCAGTTTATCCAATAATAGAGAAATATCAAGAAATATCAAGTTATATCAAGAAATATTCAGCGAAATATTCATTCTTGGTAATTTCATGTTATAATAATAATTTCAAGTTATAATATGTTTATGAAAACATTAAAGTTTTGATAAATTATGAAAACCAAAGTTTTGATAACTGCAATTATAAAAACTAAAGTTTCAATAACTATAATTATGAAAACTAAAGATATAATTATGAAAAAGTTTTTGAGGTTTTTGATAATTTTATTTTGATGTTGTTTCAAGAGTGATTTGAAGCACTATAAATATACACGTTAGTGATAATTTACAAGAGGGTCTTGTTGCATTAATCTTAAAAGTTCCTGAGGCGCCAATTTTCTCAGGAAAGTCGTTTCGATCCTCTGGCAAGTTTAAATGGCGAATTGCGGGCACGTGGGATGCCATGGTGCACAAATTTACATGTCTCATTGAAGCAACATCATAACACCTACAAGGGTATACTCAAAATTGCATATATTTTCGTTTATGGAGTTTAGAGTTTGGCTTTTCTTTCTTTTTTTTGCGCAAACATCTCTCATATTATTTTCGTTCGCATGAAATACATGAAATACTGGAAATTACTGTTATTAACTTCTTTGTTAATACAAAATCCTTATTTTCGTGAAATTGTAAATTTTACTCTGATTTTTAATCACATTGTAATTATATTAATCAAATAGGGATATTTTACTAAAGTCGTTCATGTAAATTATTATCTAACAAATTAATGGAATTTTATCTTTAGTAGAATTTGATGTTAATTCAGAGTTGTCTTATGTTGTGCCAAAAATCGTTATGGGAATGGTTTGAACCCACTTAAAAGTAGGAATTTGTGAATTTCAATTGTATTATATTTACAATATGGTAAATATAATACAATTGAAATTTACAAATTCATTTTCATCTCTGCTTGGAGTATTGGACTTGGTATAAATGAAACACGTTTACTAGAAATACTTGCCGAGGTTCTCGACCCATTTACCAACAATGAGAGTGGCTTTTTAATAGTAGATGCATAAAGTAGACGACACACTGTAGCGGCAAGTTCAATACTTCTCAGCAGTCGAGAGAGAATTTATAAATTTGAAGACACAAGTACAGCACACGTTAAAGTTCGATACCCAAATTACCCGCGTTTCAGAATCGATAATTTATTTATATTCTCACACACTTTTAGTTTGAGGCAACATCTGCTTTTGTATCGATTTTGAATAGCACATCATAAATTTTGAAAAGCACATCATAGATTTTGAAAAGCACATCATAGATTTTGAAAAGCACATCATAGATTTTGAAAAGCACATCATCGATTTTGAATAGCACATCATAGATTTTGAAAAGCACATTATAAATTTTGAATACCACATCATAGATTTTGAAAAGCACATCATAGATTTTGAAGAAAATTCTGTTAGATTCCTCAAGAATCTAACAGAATTTTCTTCAAAATCTATATGATGTGTTGTTCATCATCTTTCTCAATTGAAATTAATTTTAAAAAATCTCTGAGATGAATTTTCTTAAAATGTTTTGTTGCATCATTAACGAAGAGAGAGAGAGAGAGAGAGAGAGAGAGAGTTACCAGAGAACATTAAACACAACAGAAATACAATTGCCTCTGCGAAATAATAGACACAGAATTTAATTTGCAAAAACTAATAACAGTTTGCATTAGAAACTCAAATTGAAATGACGTATACGACCATTGTGTGTGTGTTAAATGTGAATATGAATATTGCAATAACAATGTGTATGAAAAGTTTCTCGATTTTGACCGCAATGCATTTCATTAGTGGTCGAGTAGTGAGTCGTTATCCGAGACAGGAAACGAGCATTGGCTCAGGACATAGAAGAGCGAATGGACTAAAGTAAAGGGATTCCACTGTGTTGTGGGCAAAGGCAAAGGGAAAAGGGAAATAGGCTAGTGGATTTGGAATAGTATCTCCACTACATTCACAATAGCATCCCTTGTATTATAAATTCTATTCCATGGCTGCTGATGAAACTGGCACACGAATAAACCACAGTGACACCCACAGTTAAAGCGTCTCATTCCAACTTTCGCCAAACTATAATACACTTCCAGTTTTAGAGCACTTCTTAGAGCTGAAGAAGAAGTAAGAAAAAAGGACCATGAATCAGACTATATGAATCGACTTTAAAAAATCTAATTTTTAGTTATTATTATGAAGAATAATTATTAATTATATAAGCTAATAATTTTTCGAAACCATAATACTTGATTTATCATCAAAATCGAACTTCCAAGTTGCTCCCAATCTCATAAGACGAAAAGGCCATAAATACACATCAGACGGTGCTATATAGCTGCTGCTACACTTTTGTCTATTCTCTTTCACCCAAGAATCACGAAACTTTTCCTCGATACCTCACTTTCCTAAAAGAAATATGCAATACTTTGTAATAAATCATGTAGATCCTTAACAAAAAAACGTGTTTCAATGTACCCTGCTAGTGAAAATTGATCCATTTTTATTGCCTTCCGGATTGTAGAAAGTTTCGTGAATGTCGGTTTTGATAAGGAGTTCTTTTTAATTGCAGTTGCATTGAGAGCAATTCAGTGAACTTGTTTATACTTTGAAAACTTTTTAATTAAAACAGAACCTTTTGAATAGAGAAGATTAATTAAAACTTAATTATGATCCCATAAAGGAGAGTTCTTGAATCGGGAACATTCTATGGATGTCGAAAAGTTATACATTGTATATCTACTTTTTTTTAATATTTTTACACACAAAGAAAAATATATTTTTACAGTATCTCAAATAAGCCATTCGCTTCAAAATAGTAATAAATTACCGGCATAAGAATTAAAAATCCTATTATTTATCAGGATTTTGAAGCTCTATGCAATCTTTAATAAAAAAATAAAACTAAAATAGAAAATTGAATTTAATAATTGAAATAATAAAATTTTCTAGACACAGTACAAATATGGAAAAATGGATCCGTCTTTTTTAAAGATACACTACTGGCATGATTCAGTCTATGAATCTTGAACACGTGTTTAGCTTGCTAACACTCTAACATATACACACAATTGAAACAGAACAGGAAGCCACGTCCTCTGACATCAAATCTCTTTTGTGAGAACCACATAAACAGGAATACATTGACTTTCACATAAAACCGCATTTGCAAGAATGCAATACAATAGTTTGCAGTCTCAGCGGAAAAGATTAATGATAGATGAAAAAAATGGTTCACTAATACAATAAAAAATATGATTATTTGATTTCCGATTTCTATTCAACGGCTAATTAATATTATA